CACCGATCCTGAGCCTGGAAGAAGAGCTGTTTAAATGCCGACCAGCTCTCACAGACCCCCTTACCTTCTAACACCCTAGTCCACGGGATAGCTCCAAGTAGGTCCCAGAAGAGATCAATGTTGGCTCTCCTAAAGACCAGGATAGCAATCCTACTTTTTGCTTTTCTTCTTCCACTCAAGATCTTGAACTCCACCATCTCGTGGTCACTACAACCCAAGGTATCCCCCACTTTTACTTCCTTAACAAACCCGTCCTTATTTGTGAGAATAAGGTCCAGTAACACCCCTCCCCTCGTCGGTTCCTCCACCACCTGCATCAGAAAGTTGTCTTCGATACATTGCAGGAACCGTCTGGACCACGCGTGCCTGGCCACGTTGCTTTTCCAGCAAATATCCAGATAATTGAAGTCCCCCATAAGCACCAGCGCCTGGGATTGCAACGCTACTTCCAGTTGCTTATGGAAGGCCTTGTCAACCTCCTCCTCCTGATCAGGGGGCCTGTAGTACACACCCACAACGGTGTCACCCATACCAGCCTGCCCCTTGATTCTCACCCACAAGCTCTCCACTGCTGCATCACCCTCCCCCAGATGGAGTTCAATACATTCTAGCTGCTCTCTCACATGAAGAGCAACTCCACCACCCCGCCTCGCCAGCCGATCTTTCCTAAAAAGCACATAGCCCTCCATGACAACATTCCAGTCATGCGAGCTGTCCCACCACGTCTCCGTGATCACAATGAGATCATGGCCTTGCGACCACACACAGATCTCCAACTCTTCCTGTTTATTTCCCATGCTGCGCACATTAGTGTACAGACACTTCAAGGAAGCAGCACCCCCCTGCCCCTCTCCATCCCTTTGAACTCCACCCTTTTCACCCATCAAACTCCGTTTTGAGCCACGCTCAACCCCAGTGGCCCTCATTATGTCCCCTTCCCCCTTCATCACAGTACCAAGTATATATTCCCAAAGCAAAGCAGTGAAAACACAGTCTTTCTGTTGTTTGCATAAGGAAAAAAAAAACTGATAGCTAATTATCCCCCTTTATATAGCTAAATGATTCACCTTAAATAAGCCTTTGTTAGAAGTTCCTATAGAAATTAAAGTTAAAACCACTAGATTCTATCACAATTAAATACACTGTATAAAAATAAGTTGAATATCTAAATAATTCAACAGGAAATTATAGATGTGCTATAGAATTTTTATGAACTTTTATTTAAGTATTACATTCTTATTAAGGAGTCCTGCAGACTTGGATAAAAATTCTGCATAAGAAATTATAGTTCTCTACTCAAATCTGATCTTCTCTGTGTGTAAGGATAATTTCACATTATCACAAAATATCCTATTTTGTATTACAATCGTAATTATTCCTCACATCATTGATTTTTTGAGTTCTGTCTTCTACTTTTGATGAAGACAAGAATGAACTGAGTACATCAGACAAAAGCTTCTAGCTAAAAATAATAATAATAATAATCATTCCCAGCCTCAGAAAATGAAGACTTTCCATTAACTGGTAAAGCTGTGTCTTTTTCTTGACATCTTAAAACAACCTGTTAGGCAGGCACAAATAATACAAGCCTTAGCTTCACAGATACTTGGAAAGAATATATGAAACCTTTAGAAGAAGAAGAATTACAACAACATAAACCCCCACTAAAAAACAGGAGTAATGAAAGCTTGTAGTTTTTGTTGTTGGTTTTTTTTTGGTATGCAGTGGAAAGGTTCTTTTTTCATAGCTCTACACAGTATTCCCTTTGCTGTCAGCAGTCACATGTGGAGGTGATGAAGAACTTCAATCAAAGTTCAGATGCTATCCCATCCTCTGCTCATTGTTTCCAGCTGCTCTAAGTCTTGGCTCCTGAACCACTTTACAAGTCTTAAGTCTAATTAACATCAGAGCATTTCATGTTCTGTCTGCAGGCATCCTGTTGCACCCAGCTACTGTGGTCTGCCCTTATGTGAGGGTACTTCCCCACCCCTCCAGCCCCAAAATGAAGAAAACAATAATCAGCATTTTAAAACCAGAGATTTAAAAGACAGGCTGGACAATCCACAACAAAGGTAGTGGAAGAAGATTCAGCAGACTGTGTTTCTCCTCCTTTTGGCCCACAGAACTTCCTGTAAGCAAACACACTTGTTTTCTGGAGAAGAACTCTACAATGCACTCTGTAATTTCGTCATAACAGCAGCTGAAACCCATACAGTGATGACTGTGGGGTATTTGCTTTCTGAATATTGGCTAATTCTGCATTGACAGAATGTTTGGGTCTAAACTAATGGTTTAAGATATTCAGCCAACAAGACGTACACAAAAAATAGTCGCACATTGATACAACATTTAACATCTAAATAAATAAATTCCTCATTATCTTGTGGAACTGACCCAGGGTCAGAACTACAAGAATTTGACTTCAGGGATTCAAATCTTATTCACTTTTTTTCCTCCGAGTCTCTACAAGGATTTTAGGCTCTGTTTTGATTAATCAGACCTTTAGAGTACAATTCAGCCCACATAAATTGCCTTTTAACAGGCTACTTCTTACCACTGACAAAACAAAAAACCTCAGGGATCAGCTTAGAGAAGGCAAACAAGTTTAAAACTGCTACATTCAGATAAAATAAGTCATAAATCAGATTTAGGAACTCCTTTTAGCATGTCTGATGATCACTGTTGCCCCAGGACTGTATATTTTACTGGAGAACGCAGTAAAATTATTAATCCCTAATTTTTTTACTTGCACTGGATTTTAACAAGGTTCTCTTTGCAGTACAAGATGCAACTAACATCATTTCTGTAAGAACTGCAGTGCTTTCACGAAGAATTTGTCAGCATTCAATGTCATCCCTGCTGTTTATCTGTCCACTAATTGTCTTGTTGTATCAGGCAACAGGTATTTCAAGCAAGCATATTCTGGTCGCAGTGCTCCCTGGCCTGCCCACATCTGCTGAACTCTTCATTTTACCATATCAAGATGCCACAGGGGAAAATAAAAGAACAGCAGAAGACCTAGAGCAGGTACTGTGTCCGCTTCTCAGCGAAGTATACATTTTTGCATTTGTTTGTGTATATGGGATTTCCAAGTGAAATAATTACTGCTATCAGATTAACTGAGACCTAAACAATGACTGTGTTATGTTCAATATCCTCTTTGATTTTTTCGTTGCTTGTTTTTCACAAAAAACAGCTTTAGATGTATAATTTAGGATTGAAAACTGATCTGGTATCCCTCAGTATAGTTAAATTTGTACGATGACTTTTCCTCCTTGGGAGAGAAGAAAGATTCTATTCTACTTCATGGAAATTGGAAGACAGCAGGAAGATTTACCAGATGGTTCCTGCTGAACTGCACTGGGATAACCTCATGAGGAAGAGTTTGAGATGGTCAAAAAATCTGAGAAAACTCTGGAGGATAGGGCTGGGTGGTAAACCTGGAAAGACCACAGTTTCATTGGCCTTTAGACAAGGGGATGTGTTAGATTATCCTGCTGGCTGTCTTCATAATTCTGGCACTGGGGTTGAGAGACTCCAGCATGTTCTGCCTGTATGAAGCTGAAATAGGTTGCAATGAACAAGAAAACTGTATCTACCTGCAAGACCCAAAAGGTTCTGTTCATGAGTGGGCAGTGGTGTAGAGTGAGTCACAAGTTAAAATACTGTGCAGGACAGAAATCTTGATGCAACTCCCACTTTATTATCTCAGGTTCCAGAGGCAAAGATAATTAGCTCTACATGGAGCACCACTGTATCTGTCCATAAAGCATGTCAGTAGCCCAAGAGCAGACGTACACCCTTGTGGGTGTGAGCTTTATGAGTACAAGAGCAGAAGATGCTATCAGCTCACAAATCTCAGCCACTGCATTATGATAAAATGCTCAGCATTTCTGGGTGTCTGCTCCTCTATCTGGTGGCAGAGGGAATTTAGCATTGCTCTTGTATTTTCCCTTGAAACTATAATTGACTAATACTTCCCATCAGTTCATGTATCACATTATCTTCTTATATTCCTCTAGGTTTCAATTCACTAGGTCACCCATATTCTTAAACCTGCTGCTCAGCATTCTTAGCAATAATGTTTTCTTCTTTCTGAGTTTTTTTTTTTTAAAAAGTGCCTTTTCTCTACAATTTTTCCCCACCCATAAAATAAACAAAAAAAGATAAAGATTAACTGCTCTGTCAAATCTTTCCTTACCTTTCTAATTCACCTACCTTTTCTTTTACTCTATCTCAAATTGATAAGGAAGCCACTCCATGAACTACCAAGTTTACATCTGTCCCAGCTCCCTTCCAACACTCAGCAGCTTACTGTATTCTGCTATGTACTTCCTCTCTAGTTATCCCTCTCTTTTTTCCACCTGTAAAAATGGAATCTCTGTGAGGGTGAAGAAAGGAAGCCTTAACAGTTCTCTCACAACCCTTCAAATTGGGCAAGAAGAGATGACATTTTCAATGAAAATCCTGCAACTTTACTGGCAATCTGCAGGGCCCAAAGAGTAACCTTTGAAGAGAGTGAAATTATTTGCCATTTGCAGCCAGCTCTGTTTTTTTTAAATGGAGAAGTATCTTCCCTGCTCCCACCAGGATCATCAGAGTGCAATTTCTTACTGGTCCATGGCTACTACATTTCCCCCTTTCGGGGGGATTCTAGTAGAAAATAGTATTGTTTTCAATGGGAACTACATAAGAAATGCCCCAAAAGGTTTTTATGCCCTCAGCTCTGAAGCATATTCTGGTACTGTTCCTGTTTTGTCATCCTGTAATTTGGCCTGTAATCCTTCTCTATCCTTTTCTCAAAAGTGTTGAGAGCTCATTTGCTGAGATGAATACTGACAGCAGATGTTTTTGCTGATGGTAGCTCAGGTTGCTTCTTAGGTACTTTATAATGTATAGTTTTCTTTTCTGATAGGAATACAAATCTTTTGTATTCACAAGCAAGCAGCAAGCCATTCAAAGACTAGTATGCAAGTCTGTGTTCGCAGGTGCAGACCCAAAGGAGTTATAGTTCTGGATAACTTTTCTAATTTGGAAGGGAAACTTCAAATTATACAGAAGTGCTTCATATAAACACTGCAAGGGAATAAGGTTTTTTCCCAAGTACTTATTGCATAAGTTCATTTTTTTTCCCTCCACACTTTGAAATCTCTCTGGTCAGACTGTATGTAGGTGGTCTCTGGGTTCCCTCTGAATTCAGAGGCAGCTATATGCCTACTTGTCCCTTGGGAATCTAGATCTCACTTGCCTCTTTTTAAAGATGACTAAACACATAAGCCTTAAGCTGTTGAGTAAACAAACAGTTGGACTGCCAAGCATGTAAGCCAGGCTATGGACTAATTTCCCATTAAACTGAAACATTTGTGTCTTCTACCTCTTGCTGAAACTATGTGGCAGAATGGTAGAATGCCATTTTTTCCCTCAAGTTGATGTACCACTCTAATTCAAGGGTCTCAAAAATTACATTTTCTAAGTGCAGTACTGTAGAGAAAGGTGATAACAGATCACTGCTTTAAGCCAGTCTTTAATTACCCAAGAAAGATAAAGGTCACAATCTGTTACATAAAAATAGCTGCTTACCTCTTGCCCAAAATCAGAACTGACCAAACACTCCAAATAAGGTGTTCTCTGAGTAAAGATAACTTCCTTTGTGGCAGCCAGCCCTCAAATGAAGTTAGGGAAGGGTGGAGCCTGGCTTCTGGTTGCACAAGTGAATTGCTTCCACTGGTGCTGCTAGAGCTGGCCTTGCCCCTTCTCAGGGTGCTCAATCACTGTTTTGGGCCATGACTTAACGTTTTCCATACAAGTACTAATTGGTGTCATTTTTTCACAAGTTACATTCACAAAATTCAAATCTTCATTCCAGATACTTCCCACAGTAAAATCCCTTTAAATCAGTAACCATTCTTGATAGGTGAAATAAATGTTATGCATGAGACTAGAAGACGCTTTCTCAGTGTACAATATAGGACAATTCTATCTAACAAATACAGACTGTGTGATGATCTTTGTCCACCCTACTTTCTATAATCAATATAAACTTATTCTTCATAGTTTTACAGAAATGAAGGGGTGGTTTCATCCTCTGGAATTCCCAAACATTTTGCACATGCCAATAAAAAAAATCTGGTATTCATGACCAGAATGCTATAGATTTGCCTTTCTTTCCTTGTTCTTTTTCTCCCCTGTTAGAATACAGCACTGGTTCACCTGCTTTGTTTCCCAGCAGGTGAGACAAACCTGCTTAGAAATGAAGAAATAATTGATAGTTATAAAATGCTGCTGCTTCATGTCCTTGTTGTCACTGCAACACTACTAAAACACCTTGCAAAAAGAGCCACTGAAAATAACCATCAGCCACTTGGTCTGGATTGCAATTGTTAGACTGTCTTTATGGACAGGCTAGGTGAAAGTGATGATTACAGAATTCAGATATGCTGGATTCAAAAGCATTGAGTTTTTCCTCTTCTGTGAAAGGCAAACCTTTAATTAGAAGTATTTTAAGTAATATTTTTTAGTAATTTTAGCACTAATCCAACTCAAAATGAATGCACAGTCGGAAGAATATTCTACTTAAAATTCAACAGAGGGCAGTGGTACAGACACAATCACTCAGTTGTTTCAGTGTATGTTTTTACTCCGTATGAGGATTCTGAAGGGTTATCTTTATAATTATGCATGCATTTTTTTTTTCTCTCCACATTATCTAATGCAGACTTTTTGTGAAATACAGGAAGCATCTCTCTTGCTAAGTCAAACATAAGCAGGACATATATGAGAACTCTAAAGAGATGTTTTCATATCAAGGAAAGGTTTCAATGTTTTCCTGTGTTCTCCATTTACCTAGCCTGTTCAAAATAACTGCAAAAGCAGAATGTAAACAAGATGCAAGAGCGACTACCTAATGACATTTGAAGCTATTAATCTTACCTCTGAAAAGAGCTATCAGCAATGTAGAAAGCATGATGGAATCTCTGGCAAATGGCATCACCAGCTGGTTAGTAGCCAACGGTGATCAACATATTGCAGCTGTGACCACTATCTGTACCCAGCCAAAAAGATGGGAAGTGACAGATGACTGAGTATCAAATGGACAGTGATGAACTGAGAAGGCAAAATACCTCTAGCACTATGGAAGCTGGTGCTCACAAGTCTGTATGTTTATATATCTTAGGATTTGCTCCTTAAAGCAGCTTTAGGTTTACTGCTGCTTCACTGTATGTGACATATCTTCTATCTTTATTTGTGCTGGGTTCTGAACTCCTCTCCCTATGTTTTAGCATATTTGTTTTTATTACTCTTCTTTCCTCTCATAATTCAGATAAGTCAATCTGAATAATATTTTAGCAAGGTAATGATTAACTGAAAGCTTTCAGAGCCTACAGAAAGAGGTGCTAATCAATCCTAGAAGTAAAGTTTTAGGAAGAAGAGGAGCAAGTACATAAAATTTACTAGAAGAGATTTCTCTTTGCTGCTTGAGAAAAGCCTGGTAACTAAGAAGTAAAGAAAAACGGGAAGAAAAAAGGATAATATGAACATTTTATTGCTGTTTTTTTCTTTTTAGCTAGCTTTTCTTGATCAGCTGCTTACATGCCATAGAAGACATTATCTGTGTATTTTCTTTTAATGTCTGTAATACTATAATGTGATGGAAAGTACAGCAATAATAGTGGAGTAGCAAAGTCTCAGGCTGTAGCAAATGAGGACAATTCCAAATACAGTAGCTGTGGAAACAAATACAAAGAAAGAAAATTTACTTACCTACAGAAGGCCTCAGGTATGCAGGGATTTCCAGGCGGATACCCTTGTCTCCACTGCCAGCCCTTAAATGAGGTCTGGGAAGGGTCGGATCCTGGCTCCACCCCTTCTGGCAACTCAGGTACATTGCATGCACCTGAGCTTCCCTGGATTGGCCCTGCCTTCCCACCAGGTGCTCAATCACTGCTTTGGGCTGTGACTCTGCATTTCCGCTACAATGTCATTGAACTAACTTCTGCCACATATCAGTCTTCTCACCTCCTCATTCTTGCTCAATATGAGAGCAGATCTGGATTCTCAAGACTCCTGGTCACCTTTGCTCAGCTATAGTGTATTCTTGTTCATATTTCTAGGGTCGATGTAGGATTTGTATTTGCTGATCAGTTTTTGTCCTAGACTAACTACAGACGTGTTCTCCACCTTGTGCTCTCATGCTGTATCTCAATACTATGGCAGCCTGATTTCTTGCATCTTTCATCAGAGAACCTAAGAAATTTCAGCTTGACCCAAGTAAGTCAGTGACTTTGGTCTTTTCAGAGCTAGGACAAGAGAGGTTGAGAGGCCTCATGTGAAATAAGTTTTTTTTAGAGTGAGTAGCACAGTTGAGTGTAATCTATGTTTGCCCTGACTCCTGTTTCACTTTTTTACTACCACTTCAAGTTGCTTCTACCAATCAATGTGCATAATTCTTTCCTTAGTTGTTTATTGATTTACCCAATGAACTGAATAGAATTGTGCCACTCATTAGTTGAAATCCTTACACATTATCTTTAAAAATAATCTAGATTCTTAACTAGTACTTACTGGCACATTTGAATCGCATTCAATTAGTGTAAACCAATTTACACCAGAGATTTCAAAATATGGTAAATAAATGCAAAAATGCTCTTATGAGTGATAATTCTGTTTCTTGGTTCGTACAGTTCCTTCATAGTCCTAATTCTGACAAAATGCTAAGAGAAGCCAAATTAATTCTTGTTTTGTTCAATTTTTAAATTGGAATCTCTTTTCCTTCACAAATTGTCTGTTATTATTATTCATTATGTGTCCTTTGATGAAAAATGATACATGAAGAATGGTTTCTATTACTGAATTATTTTTGCACATCATGCTTAATTCTGCAAATGAAGCAGATAAAGTCAATGAGGCTCAGTTAAGGACCAAAACTAATTCTGAAAGCTAATTATTTTCACAAGGGAGACTTTTCAAGACTATAAATTAGAAGGCTGCTATTCTAAGAAGTTACATCTTGAGCTGAGTTAGTTACATCTGAGTGAGAGAGGAACAGGGATGCTAACCTGTTCCCCAGCTGAACACCTAGCTGTTCAGTTAGAGTTATGTAGATATTCACTACATAAATAGGCAAAAAGTACTGTGACGTTTCCTTATTTGCTTTTTGAACAACAGTGTTTCCATGGTACCACTTTAAATGCAGACATCAATGCAGGCAAAAGGCCTTGTTTTCTGCTGAAACCATCTTATTACCTCAGTAAGCGTGAGATCAACCCTTGTGTGAAGAATTACTTCAAACATGTTTTGTTCATCACAAATCATATGAGAGTCAGAGCCACACATAGGTTAAGGTCCACTCACCTGTGATCCTCTGAGCTAGAAACAGACCTGACAGAATAAGAATGGCAGAAATGTTCCTTCTCCAGTCCGAGTGTGTCTCTACACTTCACAGATCCTTCTGAGACTGTGTGAGGACCAGAAACAACATCAGCACCCACCAGCTTACTTACTCTGGAGTACTGTGTCCAATCCCAATGCAAAGCTGGCCTTTTAACTGTGTGCACTTGTTTATAAGCCAGATCAAATGGTTTATATTTCAGATTATTTTAGTTGAATGAAAATAAATTTATTATTTGCTCTTCTTTTTTTATATATGTATATTTCATGGACAATCTTACTTTCAATAGAAAGAAAAATTGAAATATTGTACCAAATGAACAAACATTTTAAAAACATATCTGAATACATCTTTTCTTCCTTGTGTAAGGAAGGCATATGTCTGACTCTTAAAAGATCTTCTAGTGCTTTTTAAAGAAGTCTTGGACTGTTATTCATTTTCAGATTTGTTCAGAGTTCATGAAGACCCAGGTAAAAAACTGCACTCTGAAAGCTACTCTTAATTAAGCCAAGGAAATATGTGGTGGACTCTAAGCAGCATGAAGAGTTGCTGTCTGTTTTGACTTTGCATATAGTCCTGGAACACTGACAGGCAGAAATGCTGATGACTTAAGGCAGAAATCATCTTTTTCTGAGTTACATTTATGCAATGAGGTCCTCATTTACAACGAGGTAACAATGCAATACAATGAAAGTAAACTTCATTTGCGACTGTTTCACTCTTCCTTTATTCATTTTTCTTACTACTTCACTCTTACAACCCCTCTTTTTCCTATTAACTCTTATATCATATTGCCAGCCGAGAACATTTGTTGGCCTTTCTCTCACACACTCAGCCTGCCAACTAGGAGGCTGCCACAGCATCCTGCAGCTATAGTGTTCCATCCTCCTCATCCTGCTGTAGGACTCTTCAGCCAGGCCAGAAGAGGTTTTTCTACACATTTCTACACATCACTGGTGCAAAACAAACTCGCTCCCCCTTCTTATGCTGACTTTCTCTAGGTTCTCCTATTCTATTCCTTGCCCAAATTCCTGATGAGGCCTGTAATAGGTAACAACACTTGCTAGCTGCGTTCTGTTATTCATCACATGTACAGACCTTCCTTTTTAGTTAGATTCTGTGAACCATTATGTACCTGGTTTACAGCATTCCATCTGCATCTGTTGCTCCAGTTTTAGAGATGAAGTGCTCTTTATAGTTGTCAGTCTTGGTTATTAATATGCTCAAATTCTTAAAGAGGGATATAATTTGCTTCCCAGGCTTTCTTCACATACAGCACAGCTTTATGTCACCATCCCTGCTGCTCTGAGCTCACCAGATGGCTCTTTGTGAGCAGGTGGTATTTTTTCTTACTGTTGGAAGAAATATATTTACTCATTCTGGCACCCATGAAAAAAAATGTAAACTTTAAAGAGATATATTAAAAATATAAATAAAATGCCTGTAAGAGTTATTGCCAAATTGATATTAGACCAAAGGCACCTATTCAAGTGATCAGCAGCCAAAAATGAAGTGTACAAGCCAAGAGAATTGAAAGAACCATTAAGAACGTTAAAAAAATAGAAGCAGCAGATAAATCTCATACTGTGATGAATGATAGCCAAGGAACATCTAATCATATCAGGGTAGATTTACTGAAATAGCTCAACCAGACAAAAATGAAGAACATGAAAAGGATGGTTTAAAAAATATTGGAATGTTCTCTTTTTCTGACAATTTTTCATTAATCTTCAAGAAGGAATAAGGATTTATTTAAAACAAATTAAATTAAGTGTTGAGCATTACTGTACAGTTCCTCTTTATCTTGGCATGGCTGTAAAAACACAGCATTCTCTGCAATTGTGTAAGAGATGTGGGGTGGGGTGGAATTTTTTTGGCATTTTTCAACTACTTCTCCCTCATACATCTACATGCAGAAGAGTGGGCATCTTCCATTGGAAAATTGCTTACTGCTGTGAGAAAAGATGAAACATGAAACATCTAGAGAATGAACATACAGAAGACAGAGGAAACTCTCAAAAGTCTGTTTGCAGGCTTCCATGCCTTGATTGATCTATCTGGAATTTTGCTTTTAATAGCAGCATATCTGAAAATTCCCGGATACAGTTGAAATTAAAATGGAGAAAGTAGCTATGTTTGCATAGTATGAGAAACTGATTTTAAAAAGCAGTGTATACCAACAGACTGAACCAAAGCTGGACTTCTGACTCTACAAATATAGATTCCAGACAGTTTTATCTTAGCAAATGCTCATCTCTTCTCTTGCATCCTTTAGGGTGGAATAACTTGCTTTGTTTTTCTTATAGAGCTCTTCTTGTTTTCAACACAATTATAGAAAGAAAATTGAGAGAAATAAATGTTCTGTGGGAGTTCTATTCCATGAAGTAGAGGATAAGAGCACGTTCTCTCTGAGTCCCAGAAGAATAGATGTAATGTACATTTTGTGTAAGACAAATACACCTCATATTCAGTCAACTGCATAGACATTATCAGAACTTCAAACTATTCCTGCTATGTTTCTGGAATCAGAGACCAGCTGGCCTGAAACTTAGGGTTGAATGAAATTAAGTTTGTTTCTAGGACTTGAAATTCAGTGCAAACTGGGGTAAGAAATTAAACCCTTCATTTTGATCCAGGTGTGCTGGGAACGTGCTGTAAGAAACTAAAGCTGACCACTCAATATTTTCTTTGTTTTAAGCAGATGTATGCTAACAATGGAAATGCTTATTTTTGCTATGTACTGTTGTGGGATGGTCCTACAGGCACTCCATCTGGTGTAATGTTGTTTTGGGGCTCAGTCTCTATTTGTGGCTGGGCTGCTCCTAGACGAGTGTGAGGGGAGAATTTGTTTGTATCAGTCATTGCTGGCCATCCACATACCACTCTGGACATAGTACTTGGAGATGTGTTCAGCCTTCATGAAATATATTTTTATGAGTTGAAAGGAAATTGTATTCAGAAATTCCAGTGCCTTTGCATAATCTTTGCTTAGCATATAGCTCTATTTCCTACTCACCTATTAGCAATATAAGCTGATGATAAGGAAAAAAAATGCATTTCTTATTTTCTTCTAACTTCCAGATTTCAGAAATACTGATCCAGAAACTGAACCAAAACTTCGTCCATTTTGAGTTGAAGCCAGGGGTTCGAGTCCTTGTCCATGCTGCCCATTTAACAGCAGGTGAGTGTCCACTTTCTTAGTACACACTCTCTGTTGATAAGTAAGCACAACTCAGCGTGTGAGCAGAATTAAAATGCCCACTCCAATCCTCTATTCTTTGTCACGTCAAAAAAGTTTAGTGGCATTTATAGCCAGCAGTAGAGGTATGTACTTTTTGGCTATTCCTGAAATATTCAACAGCTAAGCAGCACCATGGTATATTCAGCCTGGATCACAGAATGCAAAGTTCATCAGCAAGTGCTGAACATTTTCTGATAATCTGGAGCAAATGAATGATCACAGCAGCAAAGCACAGTTAAAAAGCTGTTCAGCAGCCTGAAAGAGTCAATTTACATATGCACATACACAAGATCAGGCAGTTTGCCCTTTAACTAATCCTATCTCAAGATAAACCAGCTCTGAAGTCTCGATATTTAATTACACGTGTCTCTGCGTATTCTGTATAGAAAATCCTCATTTCACAGTACAGTTCCTATTTAATTATTGTAGGAGATGGGACGTATAAATCCATGCTCAGGGTTTTAGGAATTCCTTTTTTGGTGGATTTGCTGGAGAAAAATCATAATTCTGATCAGCTTCACCTGCTAACATGGAAATAAAAAGCCTCAGTTCACTCATACCAGTGACCTGCTACAAAAAGTTGTTCATGGTATGAACAGGTCTGGCCAAGATGGTGTCAGCCCACGTGCTGCCTTGTCAACAAAAGGAAGGAAAGAGAGACTGTTTAAAAAGAAGTGTGGTGTGACTGCATTTACATTCTCCTAGAAGAAAGCCTTGGTGTTAGCAATATTTTGTGTTTCCTAAGCAGAATTTGCTAATATCTGCCCTGGGAATATTGCTGCCTGTTTCTGCTTCCCTTTATATGTGGAACATATGAGCAGATTTTCTGCTTTTAGACAAGTTAGAACCAAAAGCATAGAAAAGCAAAGATATACCACAGCTGGTTAATCTCTTAAGAATAGAATGATAATAAAAATAATAATAAAAACATCTTGGACAGTCAGTTTGACTGTTCTTTATTCTGTAGATCGTAAAAAAATGTTCATAGATGTATGACATAAGAATTGTATAACTCTATGTTTAAGATTTAAATCTGTGCCCATTTTATGGCCAATGGAACAATCCTTGCCCTGAATTTTCTACGTTGGCCAGTGATACAATATGTTCTTTCAGAAAATGCTCAGTGCTCGTCTTGGAATTCCAGGAAAACTGTCTGAAAGCATCTAAATGTGAGCTTGCAACATGGAGTTACCTGAAATTGCTCACTGTTTTTGTAATTTGTTCCTGTGTGTTTACTCTGCTTGTGCACATGGCTATTTTGCTTTTTGATTGATGTTCATTAAAGTCAGGATCAAATCCCACATCAGCATTTAGAAATGACTCATCTAGCCCTGAAGATCCTATAAGCCTTTTCTAATAAATTGTAGTTGGAAAGAATTGCCTCAGATATACGTGGTTAAGGCTCCCCTTTACCTCTTGCTACTGCAGGGACATACTGGATTTCATGCAGTGGAAACACGATGCTTAAAATCATGTCTCCAGCCTCATCTTTCATACAGGGTGAATCTCATCCATTTGAATTTAATCCCAATTTTGTGCTGTGTGTAGGAGCCTTCTGCACGTCCTTGGAGAGGAATCTGGGATATCTCTGCTTGAGTGTGCAGATGATCTCTAGATCAGGGTTGCCTAAAAGCTGGGCAGCTCCAGTCCCAAAGCCAGACAGTTAGCACAGGTACTGACAGCATTTCTCCTGGGCTACAAAGCCTCGTGTTCTGCCCTGTATGAACCAAAAGGCAGGGTCTGTCAATGTGGCACACTGCTTTGCTGTGTAACAGACTGCTCAGTTTAGATGAGCTGCATAAATACAGGATCTTTGTGCTTGCTGAAAATGTATATCTTTATGTTTATGCACACACCAGGAATGAATACTTTTTTTCTGTAATAGATGCAAACGGTCATTTGTGCTGTCAGGTAGATTTTGTTTTCTTCCCTTCTAAGCTTATCAGTGAGATGTGAGTGATTGCTGTAACCACGTTCACAATGTCCTATAGGAACGCTACAGGATTTTGTCTCTTGCAGAAATATGATTCAGCAAGAATGCAAAATAAGCCTGGATTGGCAAATTAGATATTAAAAAGCCCAAAGTGCAGCTACTGTGGAGTCTTTGAGGGAATATTGTCCCTTACCATGTTGCTGATGTCATGGGTCAACTTCCTGACTAAGTAAATAGCCCACTTTTGTGACATCAAAACTGGGGAATAGATTAGAATTTGACAAAACATCAAAAAAAGAGATTTACTTTGCTGCTGAAAGCTCTTGTTTGCGTTGTCAAGGAAGAAGAATTCTGCTTTTGAAATTCAAGCTTTTTAAAAAACTATGATAAAGTGGAGTTTAAGCAAGGCAGGACCAGAACAGATGCAGTCCCTGGGAAACACAACCCAGGGGGATTCATATGTCTGAGAGATGCAGCTCTGGACCATAGAATCTTATTTCCAGTTTGACTTTGTGTTGGAATCCTGGCAATTATGGGTTCTGTGTGGACTGAACCCCACAGCTCATCAAGTGTTTGCGTAAGTGCATGTGTACATATATGTATTATAGAATCATATAATTGTAGAATATCTCGAGTTGGAAGGGACCCAGAAGGAACACGGAGTGCAATCCCTGGCACAACACAGGGCCACTCAAAAAGTCAGACCACATGTCTGAGAGCATTGTCCAGACAAACGTATATAAATGCATCCCTGTTCTCAGTGCGCACATACGTTGCTCCTTGTGTGTGTGCCTGGTCATGCACAGCAGAAAGCATCAGAGAAGCTGCAGAGAACAAAAGTGCAAATATCTAAATTAATTTGGTTTGGACATTCAAGCAGAATGTGAAGAAATGAGCCTCTTTGTGCATGTTGTATTTAAACACTAGAATTCCCTGGGACGCAGAAGAATGACAGATGTTGGGCTCAGCACGTTTCACGCCTGTGTGTTCTTTGTTCAGGCCACACTGGAGGAAGGATTAATTCATGGCAATTCTGGACAACAGATTGCAATCCATTCACAATGTTCATTTCTGCTTCTCTTGAAAAAAAAATTAAAACAATGTCTTCAGCTCAGTGAACAACAACCCCAGTTCTAAGGGAGAATAAAATGTGCCAGCATTCCTCACAAAGCAGTTAAATAGTTGTTTATGGCAAGGTTCTGAGTGCAGCATTACAACAAGAAGATTGAGTGGTGCTGGAATCAGTCAGAGAGCCACTTCACCATCCCAAAGAACTGCAGAAAGCCACACAGCGCAAACACACACAGTTCAGATGTATGAAGGATTCATAGCAATAGATGCCTCAGCTTCCTGAGCACAGCCTGCGGAATGCGAGAAGTTTTTCCACTTCTCCTGATAAAATCTGGTTCATAGGCTGGGTGTGATTGCTGAAAGCTTGCGTATGCGCAACACTGCTGCCGGAGTCGTTCTGTTTGTGTGTGTTATTTGAGTGATAGAAACTGCCTCTATTTAATCTTGTTTACTTTGTATTTCTGGGAAAGCACGCTTCTGGATGTTTTGTGTGGCCTTATTTTGCAAGGGGCTATGAAAAGGTGCTGCAAAACTCTACAGAGAAGCACCGGGAGACTTCTTGTTTGATTCAGATTTTTCTTTTTCTTGAACCTTTGCACTTCCTTGCAAAGATGACCTGTGGGAGAGAGAACAGGGCACAAGGGAAAGAGAGAAGTGTTCCAAGGAATAGGAAAGGGATAGACAAAGAAACTGAACATGTCAGAGGTGTGAGAAGAGCTTGCCGTGGTAAGGCATGGATGCTGAGGCAATGTTTGTGAAGGGCACCAGCCTTCTGATTGTGAAAAAAGAGAACTGAGCAGAGAGCAATACATTTGATACTGGGACACTTGCTTCAGAAAAATCCAGTAGCCAGTTGCTCGTTATCCAGCAGGCACTGAGAGCTACTCAGAGTAGCTCCAGGCAAAATAGAAAGTCAACATGACAAGGTAGCCCATGGGTAGCTCCAGGATCCTTCAGAAAGTCTGGGTTTGGTACTCGAGTGACCTCATTTGCAACTACCTTCAGTAACTGCCTGCAACATAAAAGCGTATTTTTCAGACTTTATTCTATAAAGTGCCAGAGAGGAGAGGCCTCTAAAGAGAAAGCTATGGTGCCTTTAGGGCTTAGGCTGAGTACGACAGCTAGTCTGAACCCAGGTTTCTTCCCAGATGTATTAGAAAGAGAAAGGAGCCCTGGAGACAGGTGGACAGATGAGACTGTTATAAATGCCATAGGAGAAAATTAAGTACATTTTTGGAGAGAGAACTTTTCCCTCTAGGCTGGAGGTGACTCTAACCTTCTCTCCCTCTCTTGCAGCTCCCCTGGTGGACCTCACTCCCAGTCACAGTGGTTCAGCAATGTTGATGCTCCTCTCTGTTGTTTTCGTGGGACTAGCCGTGTTTGTAATCTACAAATTCAAAAGGTATGACCTTCCCTGGGCCATTTCCTTCTCCCCACTGCTGCCGGGGATTTGTTTGCTGGGTTTTCCTTTTCACAGTGATTTGTTTCTTGGTTTGCAAAAGCTAATGCTACATCATCTGCCAGAGTACCCCCCAATGATGGTTTCTGTTAATGTTTTAGGAAGATTCCTGGCCTTAATATATATGCACAGATGCAGAATGAAAAAGATCAAGAGATGGTCAGTCCAGTCAGTCAGAGGGAAAGCATACCTAATGTCCCTCAGAGTGAGCTGATGAGCCCTGAACAACTAGTAGATGAGAAGTTGGATGTCCAGCCCATAGGTAAATAACTTGCAGCAACCCGCAGTTGGTCAGACTATGTCTGATAATTGGCTAACCCTTTTCTCAGTCTTCCCCTTTCCCATCTCCCTGCACACTCCTCCTGCCATCCTCTTCTGCTGCAGTGTTAGTTTTGCTACAGGAAACCTTGCTAACTCTCCCCTCTCCCTCAATGCCCTGTGATGAAAGGGAGAGAAACAACTATAGGCTTTTTCCCTCCCCTAGTTGCTGTGTAGATCCTCTTCCCTTCTCAAAAACCCTGCTGCACTTAACTTGCGCTATAAGGCAATTTAATTTATTTTGCTGGGGCTGATGTTGTTATGGGGCTACAACTCACACCTGAGTCCTGTCCAGGAGAACTTCAGCCACCCTCACCTGGAACATGGAGGTGAGCAGGTGATTCGGTAAGTCAAATCTAAAAGTTAAATATTTGTTCATGTTTTCACTGCTGTGGCCTTCTTGGTGTGCCAGGCCTCACTGCTAGTAGCAATGCTAGCCTGTGTGATTCTCAGGGAAATAGAGCGAAACCTGGGATCTCAGCACTGGGCTACTGGGTTTGCCCTCAGGCTGATTACTCCCACATGATTCTGGTTGAAAAATTAACATTAGGATTTAAAGTGAACAGCATTGAGGTGACCATACTGGGTTCAGTCACCCATTTGCTCATGCTCATGATGTTATCACATCACCCTGAGTAAAGTAAAAGCATTGGGATGAAGCAGGGAGCTTTCATTCTGGGGGTATGTTCTTCTAAAGCCAACATTGCTTAGGAATTGCTTGGGCACTGTTCAGCTTTGTTTGTAAGGGGAAAGCTCTGCAGGCCCAAACCACAGGAATAGTACAGGACTCCAGCAAATAACACAGATCTGCTTTAGATGAATTACTAATAAAATGTACAGTTCTTCTGACTCAGATAGAACTGATGCATAGTCATAACTATGATCTTTTATTTTCACAATTTCATCCACTTAACCAAGTGTTAGGTCCCACCCAAGGAAGTCCCAAAATTGTGTGGGAGTTTGCTAAAGCAGATTTGATGTCTTAGCTACCACAGAGAGAGAGCAAGGGGAAGGGCAATTAAAAAAGGAAATATGATGTGCTAAGATTGTGGCCTGTGAAACATCCTGGGAGGAAAAAGAAGAAAATCTCTTGATGAAATTGATGTCTAAATTGGAAGCTCCAGTGCAATCAGTAGTGATCTCTTATCACACATTCACCAAGGGGAGATCTGGTAGCTATTAAAAGCTTTTTAGCAGTTATCCATCAGCAGACCTGATATCCCTGCTTAGCAATACACAGGATGGACTGAGGGAACCAACCTTCCCATGTGGTGTTCCCCATACAGAGCAACCCCAGGCCACAGTCCAGAACCCAAGGAAAGGAAATGCAGCCAAGGTAGTCTGGACAGAGGACTTCCAAAAGGCTTGTGGATCACCAAGAGGTTTCAAGCCAAGACCCGGAGCGGTGGGTCCTAAATTTTAACAATTATTCTTTCTTTTTTTTTTCTTCTGTTTTTTTCTCTTTTTATCCTGGAAGCTCCAAAATTGGTCTAAGTTGCCAAGGGAGAAACACCCAATTTCAGGCCAGGAACCCAGTTCCCAGACTTAGTTGAGCTTTGAGACTCCTCTTTCTAAAGGAATGTAATGATCATGATTTCCACTGTTGGCAGAGAGTAGCAAATGTTTTCAGAGGTCGCTCAGACTGAAGAGACAACAGTCAGCCAGCTCCTACCTCTACTCTTGCTGATGATGGGAATTAATCTCTTGAAGCCTCTGGGATTAGAGAAGTCAAAAGCCAATTTGGGGGTTTGGTTTTCATTTGGTACAACTGTAGCATTTTTAGCTTTCTACAATAGCTAGTGTTCTATGGATTTCTCAGCCGTACTCTGCACTGCTGGTCACTGTATTGAATCAGAAATTGGCCTTTTATTCATCCTTGGGTTTCACCTGTAACTACAACAGTAAGCACAAAAGGGACAGATAGTCTCAATTCTCTATCAAAATAAATCCTTCCAACAAACTTCTTAGGAGTGTTTTTTTCCATTCTGGCAGTAAGATGAATGTGGAAACTAAATCAGAGATCACTGACAAAATGAGAAGGTCTGGACATAGATGTGAATAGAATAAAGTGCAAAGGCTCTTTACACTTGTATACAACCACTTCATGTGTTTTTTGTAAATCAGCAATTTCTTTTTTAATGAGTTTTCCTTCTTTTGGGAAAACCAAGCAATACTGCAATTGGGTGTTTCTCTTTTGTATGCTTGTTCAGAAGCTAGTTTTTTTTCCAACTCCTTTGACTAACATTCAGAGACCCTTCCTTGGAGGAATGTAAATGAATGTCCCTGGATCATTTAATTTTCTCTCCAAACCCTGGCAGCCAAAAACACAGTTCCTATTTTCTGGGTGTGAGCAGTTTAGGCTCTTCTTTTGCAAAGGCAAAGCTTAAGGTTACTTATGAAATCTCTAATACCTTCTAATTGCAAATGAGCCCCTTTCCCTCCATCCCTCTGCTCTGGCCACTCCCTCTTCTGTTCTACATGGGTGAATCATCTTCATTAGCAAAAGAACAGTACATCACCTTCAGCGTTTTGAATGACAAGAAAACATTCGTGGGAAAAACATATCAGTCTGGAGCCGTTCAATCCCAAAGGCCAGCAAGGTGATACCTTCAAACATCTTCAATAAAACACACTAATTATTTACTGACTCTTATTTTGTTCTCTCTTTGTCACAGGAAGTATTTCCACAGCTGCTGAGCCCCAGAGCACAAAAGAAATCCCTACCTATGTAAATGGTTGAATTGAGGACACCGATATATATCAATATTGGAGAAAAAAAGAGAACTCATTGCATTTGGACTTTTTAATTCTTCAGATGACAAAGGGTTTTTAGCTTTAAGCCTGTGCATGTGGACATTATACTGAGACCATAGCAGAACTGCATTGTACAGGTGTTCAATTTTAGTGGGGGGTGGGGGGAGGAACTGATATCACTATTCACCCCTGCAGCCCTTCCCGTCACTCCTTCACTCTCTTTTCTTCTGATCTGTCTCTAATTTGTAGAAAATTCATAATGATATAGGCCAAGAATATGCATGGGGGTCTCTTCTTTAGGGAGATGGGTGGGCTGGGATGTGGGGGGAGAAGGGCTGGGGAGGTGGGAGGGAGCATTTAGGGTTCTTGGCTTTAGATTTAACTGCTCTTTTAGCACTTTGGGCTGCGGGAGGGCTAGCCGCCCCAGCAGACTTTCATAGGACACAAAAGAAATCACACTGGAGTTTAAAGGCACTGAAAATCTTCTTGGGTCAGTCTGGTTTATGTCTTAATTTGGACTCTGCCCTTCATTCCTCTAGCTGCAGCTGCTGCCTGCACCCCACAGTTGCACAGAAACTGAGTATGAGCTTGGGCAATCCCAACTGCAAAGCCAAGCTCCTCATTAAACAGCTTTTTAATCTACTCACACCAAGGCACCCCTTTCCGAGCACTGTTTGGAAATAAATTTCTGCCTCCTAACCTTGGACTGAACAGAACTAGGATACATTGCAGGCAGGGAGGTCTGTATTGCCAGCATGAACTTACACTGCATTTTGTACCAGTCTTACACCTTAAATTGTGACTAAGAAAAAGCCTAGTAACACCCTCAACTGCTTTTATTGTTGATCTTGGAAGTTGTCTGGGGAAGTCCACGAGATCTCTACCTTCTGGGACTTGCCCCAAGGCCTGCCATTTGTCTGAAAGACACTTTGTCCATATAATAGGGAGCAGTCTGTATGCAGTTTCCCATGACTTTTGGAAAACCCATTTGTTTTCTGCAAACTACTGTCATTTGAGGTGGAGGAGGGGAGATGGATTTAGCTTGAGCATGTTCCCATACATTTTGAGCCCTGGCACCGCAGGACAGTTGTTGTACAAGTTCTTACTGCTAATGTAAGCGGTGTCTTACATTGCAACTGGAAATGTGACTTCAGGACACACGCATGTAGGCTACACAAAAGAACAGGGAAAGCAGACTTAGCACGCCTCAAACAAGTCCTTTCAGAGCACCAGGTATCTGGCTGAAGCCTATCCCATAGTCATCACAATTGCTGATTTACAACACCACTCAGGTAAATTCAGAAATAAGATTTTGGCTTGAAGCGCAAAGAAAGAAATACAGTAGCCAATATACATTTATTAGCTATGCTAGGTGAAAGCCAGTAGCAGCTGGTTCATAATTGGTGTAGCATGATTAGGATGCATCCTGATTCCTGATATGAATGTGTTTTGTTCAGTAGATGTTGGACGAGGCAACCTTTGTTAAATATGGGGCAAAGGGACATTCTTGGCATTGCCTGGGGTCCTGGAGCTGGGGAGGAGGGATGATTTTGAATTTTTCTGTCACAAACTGGACATCAACACCACCCAACCTACTAGCTGGCAAATAAATAAATAAATAAAAAGTTATACCAAATGTAAGAGCACCCATCAGACCCACAGTAGGCAAAGAATGATCACAGAATGAAGTCCTCTGCCACTTTCTGTAGTCTCTCTGCAGACAGCTAAAGACACAGCAGTTTGTATGGCTTTGCTATTGTGTTTGCAACTACAGCTTTAAGAAAGAGGGGAAAGTTTTGGTAGCAACTGTATAATACTCCCCAGTGAAGTCCAACATTAGCCAACTTATTTTTATAGTAAGCCAATCAAAAAGTTTTCTTATAGTGTTGGAACTATTTCTAATTTTAAAATTACTTTTTTTCGATGTATTTTTTCATCTTCTTTTCCCCTTTCGTTAAATACAATGTAGCGTAATGTATAATTGCTATTGTTTATTGCTTTTACAGTCATATTTATTAAACAGATTATGTCTCTAAATGAAGGCCCGTGTTTCTGTTGCTCATTTTAACGCTCTCTCCTAGACTGAGATCAGTAATTATGTTAAAAACAGGAGGAAAACCTTTGAAAATAAAGGGAAATTCAGTAGCATGGAAGTTAGAGAGGGTGGATAAAGTGTGCTTCTAAAAAAATGCTATACTTACAAGCCAAGATTAAGATAACTTTCTTAGCCTTCAGGCAAAGTGAAGTGTAGTCACACTTATAAGTGAAGCTTGGTACTCTTACTTACGTTCTGCAGGTGGAGAAACTGAGATGCAGGGAGAAAATGCTGTTTCTCTGGTTTCCAAAGAGGCAGTGAGTTGAGCTCTTTGGGGCTCCAGCTCCATTCTTTGCTTATGGTTATGCACCCCTATACACAATTACTGTTAAAGGTTCCTTTGAAATATGTTTTTGAGTACCATTTTGCCAACATTGATGAAGGAAGTTTTTTGGGAATTGCCATGACTAATTCATCAGGTGTTGCACATGAAAGCAATGAAACATAGGAAATTTCAGTCATCTTGGCAGGTAACAGTGAGTGCATGTTGCTGAGAAAAAGAAAAACACATGCTGCTCTACTTTTCAAGTTGGGTTGAAAGCGCCGGATCATTTGCAGGCCTCCCCACCACAAAAGCCACAGTACTGCATGGTAAGTACAGAAGTGCTGAGTTTGCTTACTGGAGGAGCATGACATTTTTCCATCCTGGTAAACACTCAGTATAATTACTAGCCTGAAGTACTGAAGCAGACACTAGCATTTCTTTTCTTTACCTTCCATTAGGGTTGATGAACAGCTGGTGCAATGATGTCCATTGTGCAGGTGACTCAAGAAGCATGTATAGATGTAATCTGCTTTTATAGTTCATGTGCTCACCTGAATTAGGGGCATCTGCTGTGACCCTACACAGTAAACAAACAGTAAGCACCTCTCAAGCATATTCAGATGATTCTCTTCAGCTTGTATGCATCCTGAGGCAGAGACTCATTGGTGCATGTTGTTTTCTGGTTTGTATAATAGTAACAGCAATGCACTGCTAACCTCTGAACACGGGTAATAAACAAAGAATATACTTACAATACCCAATATGGATACAAATGTGAATTTTCCCTCAGAAATAGTATACCTTAAGAGATTTAAAAACAAAAACCTTATTGTCCTTTAGCAGAAAAAGCAGGGAGTTAAAATATCATTTAAAAACTCAACATCTTTTCCTACCATCACCTTAACTTCCAGGACAGAGATATATGGATGAGACAGACTTATTGGATTCAGAGGGATTCATATTTCTCCATCTACTAAGGCTAGGATGCTGGATCGCCTTTCTTTGAAAACAGCAGGTATTAGTGGTCAAATACTTTTGATGTTCTAGTCCTCAAACAATGCTAATATGTGACTACATTTAATGGCTTATCTTTTGCTGGAAAGCAAGACTCTTAGAGCACTTTCTGAAATGCTAATGCAAATGAAAGCAGGACCCTAAATGAACCTATTCTTAGTCCTGTCAATTTCTGCTGAGAATTTCTGACAACTGCATTTAGTCTGGTACCTACAGCTGATAACAAGGGATTAGTATTTTATCTGTGTGCTGTCATCTCGCATTGAATGCATGGAAAGTTTCCTTGCCACATTACATCTCTAGGTACATCTGGTGTTTTGAGTGCTACCCTTGGTTGCAGAGCTACCATCCTCATGCTGTTAAAAAAAGGTTTCTCCTCCTTTAGTTAATGAGATGCAATCTTTGCATCTCATTGAAACAGAATAGTAAAGGCTGGGAATAAATAATACTTGAGTTAGAACAGAACCATTTAGATTAGAATATTGTTATGATCCTGGCCCAGAAGAAAAGACTGAAGTCAAACTGTTTTCTGATTGATAAGATCAAAGTGCTATCATGCACTGACTCATCAGCCTAAGAGATATACTTCATCTGCAGTTTTAACTTTAGCTTTTTCTTTTTCCTTATTTCCTACAGGGGAATATAGTTATCTATTTCCATTCACTATGCTGAAAGCAGGACAAAGAGGAAATCTGTGTTGTAATGCATTTCTTAACGTGAGAATTTCAAGATGTCTTCCTTGTTACCTGCAGTGCGATGCAGCCTACAGGCATCCTAGTTCTAGGTGCTATACACACGCAGACAGTGAATTGAATAAAATGAAGAAAACCTGGGAATGACTTTTCTCACCACTTCTGCATTTGAGTCTCACACTATAATCCTGAGTTATTTTGACAAAGTGGATCTTAACCAGACATTAAAAGAACTCACCATTGTATGTGAGAGCTCAGAATGAGATGGGACAGACCAACATCTAAATATGCTAACAGAATATAGGGGTAATACCTTGAGTCCTAGGAGCTGCAGAGACTTGGAAGATACCAGCCAGTCTTCCAGGGCAAGAGCTCCATGCTGTTCTGTCAAAAGACTTCCTTGCTGCTGGGTTAAGTCTGAGTGATTTGAAGATCATGATAATTTATGCTGTTTTCCCTAGAAATGTTACAAAGTTTTGTTAGCAGAGAGTAGTATGACTAAAATATATCCTGTCAAATATTTACCCATGACTTTTAAGTGCTTAGAGAACAGGTTATCACTAAGGTCCGTATAATGACCTTCCACAAAGCTATAGTAGCCCAACCATATGTATGCTAAGCAGGAGCCAGACAACTGTTGGATTACCTCAGCTTCTCTGAGACTGTAGTAAACCCAAATATTTTGGACACAAATATCTCTAGCCAGTATGTCATTTATGTTGTGCTTCTTATTTGAATTAAAAGTATACAAAGAAAGATCCCAACTAGAATCATTATATGTGAGGTTCTGTATTCACCTCACTGCAAAGAAAGGAAGGTACAATTCCAAAGCTTTGTAGGTTTTGTACTTTACAAGCCTTAAGAGACAAAAAATGGAAGAAAAAGAATGAAGAAGCAAAGCTGTTGAGGAGAGCGTCACAACTCCTTACCTTTGGTACAACATAGATGCAAGAGAAAAGCCTTGCTTTTGGTAACAAAACCCTTCTCCAGCCTTCTGTGGACAAAGCTAGTTCTAACAGTGCTTCTGGGACTACAGCTGCCTGGAAAATAAGTGCTCCCCAGCCCACAGTGTGGGCCATTCACCCCATGCCCTGTGCCACACATCACACAGAGACAGCTGCAGGATAGAGCTCTGAAACGAAGATTGAACTGACAGCTGTCTTGGCCCTTGCTGCAGAAGGTGAATAATACATGTACATGAAATACAGTGTAATAAAGAGCTTTAAGGGAGAAACCCTTTGGTTCCTAACCCTCTCTGCATAGGAGGAACGTCTTTATTCTGCCACTGGAGAGTAACACCAGACGGAAGGACTGAATTCGCATCTCTTTTCTCCAGGTACAACAGCCTTCTCTATGCCCTGCTGCAGAACCACAGGACAGAGGAGAAATAAGATGGCAGGTGTTTCCAGCACTGTAACTAGATTCAATTTTCAGATCTTTCTATCTTTTCCTTTGTGTTAGTGAAAAATCACACACAAATTATAAAGAAGCTAGGACTTGACCACCGAGGGAAATAATAAATAACTAACAAAAAGCTCTCTTTCTTCTGCATTTTCCTTTTCACCAGATGATGCCTGAAAGAACATTAACATCATGTCTACAAAGTCTTGACCAGCTATCTGCAGACACCTGCTGGTAGGGTTAACTGGATGCTAGCTAGCCTTTGATTTTGGCATCTTTGAATATTTGAGCGCTTTTCCAGTAGACAGAAAAATATACAGTGAAAAGGAGACTTTTAGAAGGATACAGAGAACATCTTGTGTGCATTCTAACCATATTTTCAAAGAACTAAAAAGGTTTTCTCTTTCCTGAAGAACAGATGAAGTTAAAAGATTTGTTACAAGCCAAGGCGTGAGAGACCATCAGAGTTGTCAAAGCCTACTGGCATATGGAATTTGGCAGCAAATGTGAATAATGAAAGCATTTACCTTGTGTGTCGTTCTGCCCCCATGGACTGATTGTCTTATTTACAACCTGATCCCGAGTGCTCAAATCTAGAATGAAAAAGTATAGGAACAAACTCCACTGTTCAACTGCTTCATGATCTGCATATCTGTATATCTATATATATATTAGGAAGAAGACTTCAGAACAAACCTTTTCCTCATTTTCTTGGCAGGACTTCCTCTGATGTGATTGCTGGATATAGCAGAGAACCTGATACAGTGGTTGATATTGCCCCTTCCCCTCCTATACTCTCACCTCATTTTCTCCAGCTTCCCTTATCACAGACATCCTGAGCAATTCCCAGCTGTGGGTGTGGTGAAAGGTAGGGAATGGACACCTGTGGCGAGCATAGATCATTATGTAGCATCATTTTTCAGCATTCCTCCAAATCTTCCCTGTTATGTCAATAGATTGCTTTTGGAAGAACCCGAGCCATGAAGCAAACTCCCAAATAAAACCATTTCCTTTTTGTAATTCCTTTTTCAAAAATAGAATCTCAAAGCCTTTTAGGAGACACAACAAGGAGAAATAAAAGCCTACTTCACTTATCAGAACATTTTACTGATAAAAACTGTCAGACAGCCTCCTCTTCTGCATCTTGCTCAATCCTAGAACACCAGCATATAACACTATGTAGACTTGTGAGATAAGTAGTATCAGCTCTATTAATAAAATGTATAAATACATCCAGGAGGTTCCTCCAAGGAGGGGGAAAAAAAAAGAACCTCTGTATACACTGTGTTGATATTGTTGTTTGATTAAAGTCCTTATTTGCTGCAAATGTGGCCGTGATTACTGTATTAACCAGCAGACATTAATTACCAAGATACAAACCTGCAGGTTACTTAATGGATTGAAGCTGGTAAAGAATCTCATTCTTAATTAAATTCACTAGAATGTTTCCTTAGCCTGAAGACTCATAAGTAGATCTTGTTTTCAGAATCCCTTTCAGCCAAGTAACCAGTTAAATAATTTCAAATTAAATATCTTAGTCAAGA